AATTAACTTAGATGATCCAGTTATAGCTAAGTTTCAAAGGTCCGCGTTAGTGTAAATGCTAGCAAATGAGGGGAGTGCGTTGGTTGGGTAAGATAAAGTCGTTGTTCTCCTGCTATTCTTACAATTTAAGGATTGTGATTGGCATTCCATTGCTTGCATTCTTGAAATAGTGGGAGAACAATCAACCAGGCCTTACAGTCATTAAACGGGTAGATTAATTGATATTTTTTCAAGAGAACCATAATACTAGTCTCAAGTTTCTGTCATGCTTCATCGATGACAAACATTTTCTTGCGTGCATCATTCAGTTCTCAAGTTATTCCTTTTGCATATTTGTCGCAGATTTGGCGTAACTGGTAAAGTTGCTGTCACGTGACCAGGGGGTCACGGGTTCAAGCTGTGCAAACAGCCGAAATGCAGGGTAAGACTGTATATAATAGACCTTTGTGGTTCGACCCTTCCCCGGAACCCGCGCATAGAGGAAGCTTAGTGCACGGGGCTTCCATGTTGTAGATTTAGTTTCAACGTTCTAGACAATAGTGTTTGACATAGTTCTAATGGTATAACATGCACAGGCATGCTAGAAACAATTATTGGAAAAAAATCAGTGGAACTTTCTTAATTAGGGTTAACTTCATGGAAGGTTGTTATATTAAGAATGGAGTTGTTTTGGGCCCATATGCTTAAAATTCTATTACTACTTGGTATTGCCTGTGTTTTGGTTGCTTTACTTCCTTGCTGTTGTTAATGCTTTTACTGATTTTTACACTACAATATTTCTTCTCTATACTGTTGTAATTTGCATGCTTGCTTGGAACCGAGGATCTATCGGAAACAACCTCTCTACCTGGATAGGGTGGGGATAAGCCTGTGTACATACTACTCTCCTCAGACCCCTATTTGTGGGATTACACTGGGTTTGTTGTTGTGTTGTTGTTTTGGGCCATATATTATACCCAAAAATAACTTTCTCACTCCTTTGAATCCACAAACTAGAAAATATGTCACTACTCTCTGATAAAAGTTTAAGATAACAGGCAAGAACAGCTTAATGCTTCCTGTTACAAATATGTTATTTCAAATAGTGATAAATTTGTCGATGATATGTCACCTATGTAGTTGTGCTTTTAAGTTTATTTGGAATTCTCAGTTCTTTAATTACTTCTGAAACTACTTTTTTCTGTTATATAAACCTTCTTTCTTTTTCAATAAAGAGTTCTTTTACTAGAACTCGAGCTCGTTGATAGTCCAACTTCCTATTACTGCTCATTTCAGAGAATGTTGAATTTTCTGCAATATACATTTACATCATTTGTATCATGAAGCATGATTAGCATATATTATGAATTGATATTAGTCACCGAAATTGAATATGACTATGTGGACCTTTGATGCCATACGATTGCAAACACGACCTGTTATAGACTTCTCTCTTTCTTCTTGTTGTGTACCTTCCTACAATGAGTCTGTAGCTATGCTCTGATTAGCATATTATTCTTCCTGTTTGTCCATATTCTTGATATGGTATTACTATTCCATCTCAGGACAATTTCTAGTGTGTTGCACTATTCTAGAGTTTCGAATTGCCACAGTCTGTAGCTATGCTCTGATTAGCATTATGTTGATGTTTTATGCCATACGATCCCCGCGCATAGCGGGAGCTTAGTGCACCGGGCTGTCCTTTGGTTTTATGCCATACGATGGAAAACATGACCTGCTATGGACTTCTCTTTTTGTTCTTATTAACTTCCTACAATGAGTCTGTAGCTATGCTCTAATTAGCAGGTCATTTTTTCCTGTTTATCCATACTCTTGATATGGTATTACTATTCTGTCTCAGGACAATTTCTAGTGTTTTGCACTACTCTAGAGTTTCGAATTGCCACAGCCGTATGTGAAGCATTGGATATTAAAGAGCTAGCAACAACTTGCAACTATAACCTAAGCATGGGCGAAGCCACCTTTGTCGAGATATTACGAAAAATTATACTGTGTAGATAAGTAAAATATTAGATTTTAAATATATATAACATATATTGAACATCTTGAACACCCTTGCGGGAATTTTCTTTTTACTTCTGCCAAGTCCGAACACCCTTAAGGAAATTTCTGGCTTCGCCACTGAATCTAAAGCTTATGTGGTTGGCTTGAATGGCTTATCCATGAGAGCTAGCGTTTATGGGGTTGCCTAAATTACATACCACACAAGTGTATTTATGATTCTTTTCTCCCTTACGAGAGAAATGACCTTATCCATTTTTCATGTTGGTAAAATAGAAAATGAACCCCGATAAGTTCTGTATTATCATGTACTTGTGTTGATGCACTGAGTATTTATATAGGTCGACTGGAGTTGAAGTTGTAGTTCCATTTCTGAATATCGTAGTTCCATTCAGTGGCGAAACTAGGAATTTCCCCAAGGGTGTTCAAATTTGAAAGAAATAAAAAAAATTCCCGACAAAGGGCGTTCAATATGTGTTATATACCTCTAAAAAGTAATATTTTACCTATATACACAGTAAAATATTTCGACGAAGGGTGGTCAATTGCGCGTGTGGCTTCGCCCATGGTTCCATTTCTCAATATCAAAAGAAGCTTTGGAGACAATGTTTTGCAAGATCAGCTAATGTCGCAAATGGTTAACTGGTTGATGAATCAGAAAGTGATTTCATCTTGTAAGTATTACAGAAGGAAATATGGCCATTTTCAGCAGCTCAGATTTGGAAGTTGTGAAATAGTTGTCAAATTCCTCGGTCCTGGTCAGGTAAACAATTTTCTCAAATTCTTTCTTAATTCATCCAAAAGAACTACAACCTATGTTCCATTTTATGTTGCACTCTTTCCTTTTTTGGAACTCTTTAATTTTAAACTTCTTGTTTACCCTTAGTGACGTGCTCTTATGATCATAGAAATGCTATGGCATGTTTAAGAGCACCAATTCTAAGAGTATTTTTGGTATGTTCCAAAAGTCTTTCTTTCTTAAACTCCATATAATTAACTTTTCCAATCTGTGGTCAGATCAAAATGCCTCTTTCGTTTGGTCTCATATCAAATTGAATCTTTGGTTGCCTGCTTTACTGCTTGAGAAATAAAAAGAAGATAACACTCTGTCAAATTATCCGACCCGACCCATATTTAATACAGATAAAAAACGGGTTACCCGGCGGATAATATGGATATCCATATTATCCATGGCTTCTTGAATATGATCACTTTTGGGAGAATTTCTAGTCTCCCAAACTTGAGTAACTTCCAATTTGAGGCTTTACAAATATAAAAGTTAAACCCATTAGTTATCCACTTTCTAAGTGGATAATATGGTTCTTATCCATATTCGACCCGTTTTTAAAAAGTTCATTATCCAACTCATTTTTTAATGGATAATATGGGTGGATAACTATTTTCATTTAACCATTTTGCCACCTCTACTTCATTCTTTAATCTTGCTTTTCCCTTCTATTGCCAATGGCATAAAACTACTTTCACGTTTGAACTTTTCATACAGGTGTAACAGTGGCAAGGCCCAAAAATTAGTCTAGCAGTGCCCGAATAGGTCTGCCGTTTACTTTCATGTCGACGAACATTAAGGTCCTCTTTTGTGTTGTGGGAGGGCTCTCATCCGCCTTTCCTTTCCCTTTCTTGACGATTAAGCATGCGTTCTTCTTGGGGTTACCAGTATTGGTTCCCGCCAAGGTATTATGAATGGAGCCAACAAATGCATTGAAGGCACCTACTTGCTCTGCGCCGTCTGATTCGTCAGGGTCTGACTCATCTTCAACAGTTTGTTGAGCATTGATTTGTGTATTGGGGCATTGATTGTTCCAATGTTCCACGCCGCAATGACGGCATTCTGATTGTTGTTGACTGATGCAACACTGTTGCTGCTTGATGAAGGAGTCTTAGATTTGGATGCACCTCGATCTGTAATTGTGGGTATGTTGTTATTGTTGTTCAAGAATTAATATATATGTTTGGAAAAATAATATTTGACCTATATATACAATATAATTTTATGGCAAAAGGTGTTCAATTGACCGCCTTTGGCGGCTGTAGCTTCGCTCCTGGATGCAAGATATGTATGTATGATTGATCTCAGAAAAAAGTTCCCTTACACCCTAGTTTTGCAAGTGTAAAGATTTTTGAGAATCTGATTCTATCGCCTAGAAACTGATTCAAACTTGTGCCAAATTTTCCTGATCCAGTCTTGACCTTAAAGTTGAGGAAATTAGAGTAGTTGCATTTAATTGGCAGAATATTCTATGTTAGGTGGCCAACCTTTGATGGCCATTTTAAACTAACATTTAAATGCCTACTTTTCGGCACTAAATTCTTGACTTGTGATGAAGTTTTTGTCCACAAGTATTGTGGAATTTACTCTATTTTATTAGTTAAGATAATAAAAAAAGGATCAGTCACTCCTGTAATTGCAGAAGTTATTAGAAAAATGTGTTTCTTTATGTTGTGAAATTGCAGAAGTTAGAACATGGTGAGTTTTTATGCAACATATAACAGCTAGTAATAGTTATAGATCAAGATTATAATCGGAATGATTAATATGCAATAATCAATAACTGTTTGGTGGGCATTATATTTGAGTGCCGGTTTATAAGCGGAGCCTTGACGTACTGATAAAGTTGCTGCCACGTGACCAGCAGGTTACGGGTTCGAATCGTAGAAACAACCTCTTGCAGAAATGTATAGTAAGGCTGCGGCCTGGGTACAATAGACCCTTGTGGTCCGTCCCTTCCCTGGACCCTGCGCATAGCGGGGGCTTAATGCACCAGGCTGCCTTTCTATACAGAATGCAGAATAATCGACGCACTCTCCAATAGCCCCACTTATGTATTATGGCTTAACCAATCCAAAAAGGCGATATTGTGCCTGGCATATGTTTCTTCCTTCTTCACTTTTCGCACTACATCAACCGTGCTCAGACCACATACAAACTGCAGGTCTGCTACTTATTGTTGCAGTTGTAGGTATGCAATAAACAACATAAGTTCATGTGAAACTTGGTTTTCTTTGATGGCAGCTCAGTATTTTGACATGAATGGTGTCTGCAGATTTTCTACAGATCACACAAATGAATTACTAGCCACAAGGCTATCTAGAAAGTTATGTATTACAGCTGCAAGTTCTAAAAAGAAAATGTCCAGCTGCGACGTCTTAAGGCTGATGGGGTAAAAGATTTTTCGAGTGAGGAGAACTTGACATAACAGAAAGTCATTGAGAACTAGAACTTAATGTCTTAGTGTCACACCTCTTTTTCACTAAACTCCGTTGGGTCTTTGAAAAATGGAAAACAGGAATGGTTAAGTGTAAGAAAAGAGTTTTTTTTTAACAATGAATTTGCACCTAACATTATCGCGAAGCTCTTTCTGTTTCCCATTTTACAAAGACCAGAAAAGCTTGGTGAAAAAGGGGTGTGACACTTGCTAAGAAAAATTAGGTGTATAGAGTGGTGTGTCCTCTCCAAGCAAAAGAGACTTTAAGATGGCTTCACAGACTATAGTATCATAGATCAACAAATGTCCGCCGTCAGGAACTTCATGATATTGAATCCAAGGTAATCTTTCTGAGACATGTCTTTGTAGTTTCAAATTAATAAATTTGTCTTCACAGCCATGCCATATGTGAACAAAATTTTGATCTTTTTCAGGAAAAGGATTGCTAAGCGTCAAAGGATCAAAATCCCATTTACTAAAAGCCACAAGGAAGTCGCTGCAAAGGTTGTTGAAAACACTTCTGCTCTTTAGCTTTTCCTGTCAAAATAATATGATGTAGTATTAGCTTGTTAGCATGGGAAGAGGATGTTGCAGAAATGGTGAAGTCGAATTGGCCTTACCGAGGTAAGAAATTGAAATCCAGGTGCATTCTTCAAAAGTTCTAAGTCCTTGGCAGTGAAGTATGTAGGTTTTGAATTATCAGCTGAGGATGAGAGCGATGATTTTCGAATCAACCACCAATGCAATAATCTAGGAGCATATCTTGCAACCAACGTCATCCTTTTGTACCACCTCTTCCGTTCATCGTCCTTTGTTAGAGAATCTGGTAAAGAGGGCCATTGGTAATTGACTATGGGAACCACAAATGCTACCCCTGCTAACCTACCAAGTTCAAGAAAACGATAGGATGACCTGAATACACATTCTGGATATAAATATTGACCACAACAGAGAGTTGTTCTATTCAATTTGACATTTTGTTCATTCGGGTCTCATGGTATCACTTAGCTATATAACTGGGAAGAACAAATGCCACACTCGCTATCTACCAAGTTGAAGAAAGGGCAGCCCGGTGCACTAAGTTCCCGCGGGGTCCGGGAAGGACCACAAAGGTCTATTGTACACAGCCTTACTCTACATTTCTGCAAGAGACTGTTTCCATGGCTTGAACCAGTAACCTCCTGGTCACATGACAGCAACTTTACCAGTTACGTTAAGGCTCTCCTTCTACCAAGTTGAAGAAAGGATATGGGAAAAAGAGAAACGTGAAGTACACCGTGGACACACATATTGACCACAATAGAGACATGTACAATTCACTTTGACAAGTTTGTTCATTCGGGTTTCTTTGTATCTCATAGCTATATAATTTATATTAAGTTTATCGTTGATTGAACAATATTCTTGATATTGATTAGAATAAAGACTAACACAATTCAATTTGACATTTTGTTTGTTCCCGTTTCATTGCATCTCTTAGCTCTATAATATAGATTAAGTTAATTGTTCGAGATGTGGACATAACCACTTGTAAAAATGCAGGGTAAAACTGCGTACAATAGACCCTTGCGGTCCGGTCCTTCCTCAGACCTCACACATAGCGGGAGTTTACTGCACCAGGCTGCCCCTTTTTTATTGTTGAATGAACTGCATTGCTAATATTGATCGGAACAAAGGACGGTACGATGAAATAAGAGCAAGAAGTTTGATCTTTACCTATGTGAGATGTGTTTGATGCAACTCCAAGTTGGGTAAGATCCCATTGAAAAACCAATTATGTAGAATTTGGATCCTAATTCCAAGTGATCAGCTAATTCCTCAATGTCAGATGCTTCACTTCTTAGTGATCTTTTTGGATTTGGATCACTTTCTCCATATCCAGCTCTATCAAATTGAACAATGTATATTCCCATTTTGTTCATAAGTTCCTGTTACAAAATCTCAAAAACTTAACAAGCTATAAATATCTAACTGCTCTTTCAAGAACATATAGTGGCAAAATCAACTCATTTTTTTTAGTAATCCGTCCAACCCCTCCAAGTTTAAACGGATTGGATTATGACTCGGCCCAAAGGGTTGAACCCGAAATGACCCATCAAATAGTGTAACCCGACGAGTCAAGATGCAATCAAAATCAAAGCATATAAAATCAAACTTGAAAATTAGGATTAATGTAAAAAATTTGCAATAACTTAAACTAATAATTTAAGAAAAATATAATAGCTTTGACGCTGTTTCAACAACAACAACAACGACAATAAATCCAGTGTAATTCCACGAGTGAACTTTGGGAACACTGTTTCCGAAAAGCAAAATGAAAAATGAGGGGTCACGTCATGTTGGGTAGAGTTATGACTCGTTATTTGACACGTCTTGATCCAACCCGTTTTTTTTTGCCACATTTTTTCATAATATATCAAAGGGGCAATGAATTATGGTTAGATAGTTACCTTAGGTGCAAGAAAGTCTCTTTCTTTGGAGCTGTCAAAGCCATGAACCATAATAATTCTGTAATTTGATTTGTCTTTAGGAACACCTCTTTCTTTGTAAGCCAAGTTTCTTCCATCAATTAATTTGATCTTTGCTGAACTATTAGGATCAGTTTCTGCAGAAACCATTCTGAAATGAACTTTTTATGATAAAAAATAAAAATATTTGTGAGATTTGTTTTTCTTGAGATCTGATCACATTTTATACAAGAAAAGATCTCATTTTGGTCAACCATTTGCCTAGAACAAGAAAGTCATCACCCTTTTGTAGTTTTGTGAAAATCAAAAAGATAAAGATTTTCTTTGGACGGCATTAAAATCTGCTGGAAAAGTTTTTGTAGTTGTCGTTTTTCTAAAAATATTATTTTTGTGGTTGAAGGGTTGGGATGGATTCGTTGAAAAGAAGTTTTCATATTATTTGTTTTTTTTAGTAAGGCAGGTAAAAGGATTTTGTGGGTCTCCACTAGTTTTGCGGAAAGATGTTTTTTCCGAGATAATAATAGAAAAAATATTTTTTTGTATATTATTTTCTTATATAAACACTTCTTTATGTTATATACAAAAGAAAAAAAAAATTTATACACTTTGCTATCGAACATAAATAGCTTCGTCCTCGAGCTAAAATGATCTTTGCCCAAAGTTCTCTGTCTTTTTAAAACTTTTTCTTTTTTGAAAATTAAAAAAGAAAAAGAAGTGTCATGCAATATGCTTCTCTTTTTTTCTTTAAAATTATTATATCAGGGCTATCATGTAAAATGCTTTCTCTTCTTTCTTCTATCTTTTTTGTTGTGACAATGAAGCGGTTATTCATTTCTAACGGAAACCTAAGTAATTAAAAAAAACTTTTGTTAGGATCGGGAACCCGGGTGGTGCGGAATATAGCCAAATAACGGTATAATGACAATAACAAAGACAATGCAAGTTGATAACAACGATAATTAAAGTAGATAAAGAAGACACAAATTTAACATGGTTCGGTCACAGTGACCTACGTTCACAAGCGCAGATGAGCAATTTACTATAACAATAAGAGTACAAAAGAGAGTATAAAATTAGAGTAAACACTCTAATTAATCCCAAATACCCTAAGAGAATAACCTCACAAGATCACTCCAAAGAAAGGGTTCACACAAATGCTTCCCAACACTTAACTCTCGTACAAAACACTCTTAATAAAGGAAGAAAGGAAGAAACAAGAATTGAAGACAAGTCTTGTTGGTGTGTCTAAAATGAACTAATGGCCTTTCCTTTTATAGGCAAAAAAATCTTGACCTCTTAGGTGTAAAAGAAGAGATACAACTTGTGCAAATGATGTCCAACACACAATGCAATATTTTTGGGTCCCAAAGAATATTGCCAACAAAATCTACACTTTGCAAAGATATTTATGTTTATGTGAGATGGACTATATTTGACAAAATAATGGCCATATTACAACTTTTATGGTTGTAACTATGAAATATTTTATGACCACGTTCAAGAGCAATCTGCTTTCATTACTATCGAGCTTGTGTACATGAATGTGGTAGATGAGAGGAAAAGAATATTCCAATTGATTGTGCACATTAAATTATTTTTAGGTCAACGAATGAAAACAGATGCTCTGATTCTTCTTTTCTGTTTTTTCCTAACATCAAAGTTAATAATTCGATTAATAAGATATTAGTTTGTACATACTTGAATCTCAATCTTCAAGGAAGATATTAAGTTGACTTTTCAGAATCTACTTTAACCCCGCAGATCTTAGGTAAAAACTTATTTGTATTTAGTGTTTATATCAAGCTAATAAATATAAGATATGTGTATATGGTAAAATATGTTCATATTAAATAATCGCATGATAAAGCGACACGTGAAGCCAAAGACAGAAGACAATCAGGTCCGAAGGCAACGATCTCGTTTGTTACCGGAGAGAATAATATTCATAAAGGCGAAATAAATGCCTTTCACCCGATAGCATTTAATGGAGAATATTCTATAGCATTAAGTACATGGTCCGTTATAGAGTATATGACATTCACTGCCCACCGTTACACATTCTTCAATGACCCTCATAATTGTCATTAAAGAGTGGCTTGATCCTAGGACCTTGTTCCCTAGATGCAACTATAAATAGTAAGGAGGAATTTTCTGACAAGTTAATACTATACTCTGCTAAAAATACTATTTTATCCTCTTGCTCATTAATATTGTTCTTATTGCCTCCGAATATTTTGCTCCCGGAACCAAGATTTCTTCTGTTTTATCTCGATTTCAAGGCTAAGTCTTACATTCTTGACTAATTTATTTATCATTTTAGAATCAAATTGATTCACTTGTCTATAAACCACGTATAATTCAACTGTACCGTTTTGCAGGTAAACAATATGTATCTTTATATTTATATTTATCATTTAATTATAGTGAAATGATATGCATTCTTACATTAACTTTTAACTATAAAATTTAAATTATTTGATTTGGTGTAAATTTGGTGCGAATAAGTTGTAACGACCCGATCGCTTGTTTTCCTTTCTAGAACCCCGTTCTCCTAAATAAGACTCCCTGTATGTTCTCTTACTATTTTATGACTTACGGGGATGGTTAGTTCGGGATTTGGAAGGGTTTAGGTTGAAATCGGAACACTTGGTTCCTTAGGTTGGCCTTAAAAGGCTAAGTTTGACTTCACTCAACGTTTTAAGTAAACGGCCTCAGAATCCGGATTTGATGATTTCAATAGGTTCGTATGATAATTTCGGACTTGGGCGTATGTTCGGATCGGATTTTGGATGACCCGAGAACATTTCAGCGCCTAATAGTGAAAGTTGGCATTTTACGTGAATTTCATATGTTTGGGAATAGCTCCGTATGATGATTCTGGACTTAGGAGCGCGTCCAGATGTGGATTTGGAGGTCCGTAGGTCGTTTCGGGGTCATTTGGCAAAAAATGGAAATTTAACGGGTTTCGAAAAGTTTGACTGAGAGTGGACTTTTTCATATCGGGTTCGGATTCCGATTCAAAAAGTTGGAGTAGGTCCGTAATATTATTTAAGATTTGTGTGCAAAATTTGAGGTCAATCGAACGTGATTTGATAGGAATCGGACGTGCAGATGTGTTTTTAGAAGTTTTGAGTTTTCATGATTTGATTCATGTATTTTGGCATCTGATTCATGCTTTTAGATGTTATTCCGGCGTTTCGATCACGCAAGCAAGTTCGTATGATATTTTTAGACTTGTATGGACGTTTGGTGTGAATCCTCGAGGGCTCGGGTGAGTTTCGTACGCCTTCAGATGGATGGGAAGACTTTAGTTTTCTGTTTTTTTTTCTGGTGTCTCAGGTATCGCAAATGCGAGATTTTGTTCGCATTTGCGAATCTCACATTTGCGAGACAGGCTTCGCAATTGCGAAGAAGCCCGGTCAAGGCAGGACTCGCATTTGCGAGATTTCCAGTCGCTTTTGCGATCAACCTCCCTTCACATTTGCGATGTTATAGTCACAATGTGACCTTGACAGTGAGGGCTTAGCTTCGCATTTGCGAAATTTTTGTTGCATTTGCGACCTTCGAATTTTCCAACAAGGTGTTGCAAATGCGACACATGTGGCCTGTGCAACAACTTTTATTATGGGACTTAGCCTTATTTTCCTCATTTCTCATTTGGTCTTAGGCGATTTTGAGAGCATTTTTGGGAGGAGTTCCATCAACATCAAGAGGTAAGTGATCCCTATCAATTCTTTAGTTAAATACACGAGTCATAAGTAGATTTAACATGGAAAATGGTAGGATTTATGGGATTTTTGAGAAAAACCTAGGATTTTGATAAAAATGGAGTTTAACCACGAAAATGATTATGGAATGGGGTGCAAATTATATATTTGAGTTCGTGAGGTTATGGGTAACAACTTTCTTCAAATATTTTTGGAATCCGGGCACGTGGACCCGATGGTGAATTTTAGGAATCCTTCAATTGGGGTTGGGTAATCAATTTAATAGTTAGAATATGAACTTTTGAACATGTATTGATTATTTTATATAACATTTGACTAGTTTCGAATCGTTTGGCACCAAGTTGAGGGTTTAAAGCATATTTGTGGACCGAAAAGTAAACTTTGAGACGAGGTAAGTCTCTTTTCTAACATTGTAAGAGGGAATTAACCCCATAGGTGAATTAAATTAATATGTGCTTCTATTTGTGGGGTCTACGTATGCACGATGTGACGAGAGTCCGTACGTAGCTACTAATTATGCTTATGTCTGGATAGTTTAGGACCCAAATCATGTTATACTTGCGATGTTTGCGCCCTACTTGTTAATTTAAGTGCTTAAATCATATTGGAACTTGATAAAGGAATTGTAAAAGGGTCGAATTTTATTTACTTGAGGTTTGGACGAGTTACTTGACCGTTAATGAGAGTTGGTGTTTCTTTGAATATTAGCCTCTTAACAATCTTAGAATCGGTTGTTTATAAAGTATTTTCTCTTCTTGTGCAGCGGGCCGAACGCATCAACAGTAGAATAGATGCATCTATAGTTCGTGTCGTTCGATCCTCGGCAGTGCACAATTTATATATTTGTATGTTGGATCGGATCGTACGACCTCAACATAATCCGTGCGTAATAAATTCGTGGAGCCCAATTATAATTGATATTATTTCATTGGCTTGGGAGATTAATTTGTTAAATGATGGAAATTAATTTGGGATTTACTATTAGAGAAAGAATTATTTATTTATTTCTTTTTATTGAGTTTTTAGCTGTATTTATATAGCACATGTTTAAATATAATTTCGGTATTTTATTGTTAGCCCATAGTAAGTGTCGAAGTCGACCCCTCGTCACTACTTCTTCGAGGTTAGACTAGATACTTACTGAGTACATGTTGTTTATGTACTCACGCTACACTTCTGCACTAATCGTGCAGGATCTGAGGCAGGTGCATCTGGTTATCAGTCTGGCGCGCATCCTTGATCCCACGAGACTTTTCGATGAGCTGCCTTCCGAGCCCGTTCTGCAGCACCCGAAGTCTTTCTTTTGCTTTTACTTTATGTCTAATTCCCTTCGGACAGTAGTGTAGTATTTTTTGTATATTCTACTAGTAACTCATACACTTGTGACACCAGGTCTTGGAGATTATGCTAGTAGACACTTGGTGATTTTTGATTATTTACTTCATCTCATTTGTTTTTAAAACTGTCAATTTCTCATGTTATTTAACTTTTCACTTCTGTAAAGCCCCGTAAAATTTTACAAAAAGAAATATAATGTTTCGTGCTCGCCGCGGCTCAGACATTTTGGGTTGAACAATGCAGTGAGGGATGAAGGAATTTTTTTTGCAGAGAAATGCATTTTTGCGGTCCATTATGCGATCGCAGAATCACTCT